CATTTGCATATTTTAGTATTATGCCCCCAAAATCAAATATCCCCTACTTTTTTTGAATAGTATATATTGCCTTTCAAGCTAGTAGTGGAACAGTCCTTAATCATTTGTAGGAAAATGACTAAAACAAAATTGTATATTTATATTGTTTGTTTTACAATGGGTCATGTTGTTTTTAAAAGATTATAAATTATAATTGTTTGTTTTTGAACACATATTTTGGCATTTAAAATTAGTATTAACAGGTTAATATCCAGATGTAAAATGTTTTGTGATTGTTTAACTAGAATTGGGTTAACAGTATCGTAATTTGAAATTTAACCCAATAACATTTACAAAGTATTAACGCGTTTATCTCAAGATTTTTATTTGTTTTGTCTATACGTGTATATTACCCCAAATGTTAATGGGATGTCAAGATATTTACGGGAGAGATTTTATTCGTGTTTAACGTAGTACCCCAAATGTTATTTTGGATGCCCCGATATTTACGGGAGAGATTTTTATTTGTGATGCCCCAGATATTAATGGGATGGCCCGATATTTACGGGAGAGATTTTATTTATGTTTTGATGTACCCCAGATATTAATGGGATGCCCTGAAGGTTCGAGAGAGATTTTATTTATATTAATTCCTCAAGAGAGATTGAGTGGTTTTATATGCCCTCTCTTAAATTAGAAGCGAATGAGATGTTTTGTTTTGTGTCTTGTTCGAAAATTATAGAGATAAACCGTTATTAATTTTGATAAGTTCTTTCAAAATATCTTATTGAAGATTGGTAAAATGTGTTCAGATCAAACATTATTCTTTATCTTGAGATAAAACAATATGACATCCTTATTTCAATTCTATCCATGTAAATGATAATTTAAATATCGTTAGATAGCTAATTTAAGTCTGTTCCACTTGCTAATTTGATTAACTATTAATTAAGTTCACTCCATGATATGATAAACAGATGAAATAAACTTGGGCACGTGTGAAAGTTATAATACTCCTCATAGCACATGTCATAAAACACCGTTCCGGCCAGGCGGTATGGAAAAGATAAGACTTCCAGAAGCAGCCGACGGAATAAAAGAAAAAAAAATTAATATATGTTGACCACAACGACGATGTATGGAAGAGGAAAATGGATATAATTTCTACATTGCGCGTGTGACCATTATCATAATTTATATTATATATTCGCGTGTGTTACCATGAAAATAACGTATATAGACGTGATTTCAGATATTCGCGTGTGTGCAAATTCAAATATTTTTCTTTTCATTATATATGCGATTCCAAGAACTCGTGTGTGTGTGAACAGTAAAATTATCTGCGACATAATTATGTGATTTTAATGTCTCGCGTGTATGAACACTGTAGTATATATATGTATGAACTTTTCAACCATTACTTTATTACTTTCAACCAGTGTTTTATTCTTTTGCCATTTGCATTTTTTTTTTGTTTATATAACTTTTGATCAGCGCATTGTTATTTTTCGTATTTTTGTTTATATATTAATTAGGGTAGTTACCATCGACTCCATTTATATTTAATTTTGTAATGGTCTTAAAAAGTTATTTCATATAATTCATAACTTTATTCAAAAAAAAAGGAAGGTATGTTACATAATCACAGATTATCTGATGTTATAGACGCTTCCTGCCAACTTGACACCTGTTCTCTATCGACATCACTGGAGTTCTTGGTCTATGTGATTATGTAACCTTACCTTGATGGCATGTCTTATTTAAACTTTCTTTGATGATAAGCAAATGTTAAACCTGATATGATACATGATACATCAGCCAGATGTCTAATAAGATTCCTTTGTCTGGAATGGTTTATAAACCTAGAGTACAAACGAATCGGGAGAGAGGTCCGGACAGGACACGAGAGCGCAGGCCATGTGCGCCTAGGCACGGGACGAGACGGAATGAGGGAGAGCGCCCGAGAGTTGGCACATTTATGCCAAGCTAGGACATGGCTCCCTCAACACGAGTTAATTACGGAGTCTTAAGGTTTGTATATAATATGTTAGAAGAAGAATAAAAGTATTATGAGATGTTAAACTAGTCTTGTCATCCAGAACTTGATTAAAGAACCAATACTGTAACAAGTTATTTAAACCAGTTCTATCACATGTGTGATAATGACTGGCAAAAATATTGTCTTTTACATAAAGACATATTGCCTTTTGCAGGGTAGCGTCCAAGGTAAAAAAAAAGTAAGATGGAGGGCTTGCGCAATCTGACCCGCGTTGATATCAGTACTATGATCTTGCCTAGGCTAGGTCTGTACGTTTGACCGTCTTTTCTCTGATATTTCCTGTTAATTAGCTGATTGGTTAATTACGCCCAGTGAAGTAATAGTCGGGGCACAACCCACAGATCCGTCACCATTTTTTGGGGAACAAGGTCGACGACGGACCCTAGTGAAATTTTTACAATAACACCACTCAATCATCATAGTTACCAATTTTTCGACCCTTAAATGTGTTGTGACTTGAGTACCAATATCCCTTCAAAAGACTATGAATGACCGCATTCCGAAAAAAACTATTCAGTGGGCGGGAAGCATACAATTTGTAATGTGTACCAGGCTTATGTCCTTATTCGCGATACTTTAAGGCAAAAATTCGAATCAGCTAACTACCAATCCTACAATATGCTGCATTACTGAATACACCATTGCTTCTAGGACATGGCTGGAAAGTAGTGAATGGGAGGTTTTTGTCTATACGAGACATATGTCTCATAATAGCCATCTTGGATTTTCGGTTCTACCAGATTACATCGTCAAACCTTATCCCCCAAAAATGGTGACTGATCCCTGGATCAAATATAACTTTATCAACAAGAATGGCTGATATGATTTATGATTCTAATGCGACCTCGACTCTAGATGAGTCGGAAAATCTGTTAGTGACAGATACAACTTCAGAACTTCCACTCCTAATTTGGTCAGCTAGATTGCATCACTACATACCACCGTTTTGTTTCATAATCTAGAGAGGGGATCACGTGCCTAAGTGGGTAAGACGCTGGCTCGCTAGCCTGGAGGTCGGGTGTTCGATCCCTGCATTGGCCGAGAAAGTTCATCCAGATTTTCCGGCGTGGTTCCCCCTTGCCAGTGATGCAGAACGGAGGGCCCGACAAGGACAGCTATCTAGTAATTCGGATGAGACGAAAACCGAGGTCCCGTGTACACATTAGCGTGCACGTAAAAGATCCCTTGATAGTTGGAATTTGATATAAGAGTAGGCGATAGTGCCGCTGTCCGGGCTAAATTTTCTCATAGCACACTGTATAGCGTATGCCCGTCTTCATAAGCCCAGTTCGGGGCAAAACAGTAGGACGTTAAACCCCATTTTATTTCATAATCAAGAGAGGATGCGGTGTCTTATTTGATAAACCGGTGGATCATTTTGATATAAAAAAAATATTACATGATGTCTATCTAATAAAACTTGTTTATGAATTTGAAAACATATATTAATTCGAGGACAAAAATATTGCTCCACAAGTAACAAAATGTTTTCTAGTGAACATGACGTGTCGAATACGATATTTCTTATTCGCATTCGCAAGTACATTCTCTTAACCACCATTTGCTTTATGTAATCACAAACACATTTTAATAAGAACAATTTAGTTGTGTGTAATAACAATCTTTATTATAATATTTTCATTCTTATCCACACTATAAGCAAAATGTTGGCAAAATGGCTAAAGAAAAATAAGTCTTTCATAAGTTTGAAACTAAAGCCCGCTAGGTGGGACGCTTTATTAAAGATACATTATGTAAGTGGTAACCATGTCACTATTATATTCCGAGACTTAGCCTCGCTTCCAAATTTTTAAATGGCGATCCGTTCTAATCTATAATTAAAATCTCGAGTATCCGATGCCATCAGGAGTTGATGATGGTCGGTCTTGTTTTGTTAATAAATGTCTGATTAATAGTTGGTGCAATGTAGCCCAGTTGGAGCTGACGTTCCACAAACCATATTTCATTCTTTCATTCTTATTAATAGTTTATATAACATTTCAGGCCTAAAGAAAGACCTGTAATAGGCAGATTTAGCTCTTGCATAATGTATGTTTAATGTGATATTCACTATTCAAACAAAACGATGTAAAACAAAATATAGTGATACACCCATCTTACGAACATACGAAACTAAAGCAGCTTGTAATATGTCAATATTAAGATCTGCTATATAAGAAAACAATGAGATCAAAATGTAAAAGAAAATATCTAGTATTATCGATATAATAAACTGATAAAAAACATAAAATCTTACGAAAATACGAAACTAAAGGAACTTGGGATATAAATGGGATATCTGCTATGCAAAATATTAGATCAAAATAATAAAAAAAAATAATGTTTAGTGATATCCTCATCTTTAAAAACACCAAATCTTACGAACATACGCAACTAAGAAACTAAAGCCGTTTGAAATATTTAAAATAATGCGACATTCAATAATCCAAACCATAACGTTTAGTGATATCCTCATCTTTAAAAACAGAAAATCTTACGAACATACGAAACTAAGAAACTCAAGCAGCTTGGAATATGTTAATAATGCAACATTCAATAATCCAACATTCATATTCAGATATCCAATAATCAAACATGATGATTTAATTATTCATCTTTAATTACTTATTCTAAAATTTTAATATGGCAACTTTTACATAGAGCCTTCTTACAACTAAAAGTGTCATTGGGTGTCAAAGTTTCCATCCAAGGTATGCGCGTTGTATGTAGCAGGGTGTTCTACCTAACCTGGTGGGTTTTCTCCGGTTTCCATCTAACTAAATGCAAAACGAATCCAGTGCGTAAGCGAAGTATTTTTTTTCTAAAAATACACTCATCATATTATAGTGTTTGTCTGTTTCACCTCCACCAGTCTTTTATAAAGAGAGAGAGAGAGAGAGAGGGAGAGAGAGAGAGAGAGACGGCGTTTAACGTCAGCTCGACACAAACTAGGTCATTTCGACACTAATTCGCTTGCGCTTAGTGGCCTTTAGCAGTAGGAACAAATCGGAGGACCCGGAGAAAACCCACGAGTCTGGACAGGCGACTCCCCCCGCCCCTTGCCACGTACAAGCGGGGAATCGAAACCACGCCGCTTAACTCAATGACAGACCTTCTGATCCAACACGCACGCGTTATCCAATCAGCCACCCACCCCTCTAGTCTTTTATAAATAAATCTTCGTGCATTGATCTATTAATTATAAGTAATTTTGAAAGTAAAAATTCCCCAATCTGTCGATTCCTTTTTGATTAAAAAAAATTAAGGGATATAGATAGTATAACCCAAATTTTCCGAGGCCTGATTATTATTCCTAAAAAACAATCTTTTTTAAGATCTTTGATATTTGATCGACCTATTATTTATGAAATTATACCCCGCACCCCCCCCCCCCCCCAAAAAAAAAAGAAAAGCAAAAGCAAACAAATAACGAGAAAATAACCGGGCTGTCGTCACATTCATTTTGTCGTGTTCTCGTGTCCTACTGTCAATTGTTTCGTGTTGTCTCGTCAATTTTGTCGTATTGTTGATTTGTCGCCCTCGACTTTTTCACAGAATACCAGTCGGGGCGTCGAACACACGTTGGGTCACATCTACTGTCGGTGCAACTTTGACATCCACCAGTATAGTAATCAGTATCTTTATTACAGTCACCATCAATACATATCTGCTCACAGTTGGTACCACGGTAACCCTCTGTACACCTAGAACACTGCCCTGTATTCTTATTACAGTTACCTACGCAGTTAGTAACTGTACAGCTCTGTTGACAATTGGTACCATAGTAACCCTGTATACATCTATAACATTGTCCCGTAGTCCTATTACAGTTACTGACACAGTTAGTAACTGTACAGCTCTGTTGACAGTTGGTACCATAGTAACCTTGAATACAGCTATAACAATGGCCTGTTTTCCTATCACAGTTATCGTGACAGTTGGTAACTGTGCATTTCTCTTCACAGTTGGTACCATGGTAACCCCGTATACAACTGTAACAATGACCTGTATTCCTATCACAGTTATCGTTACAGTTAGTAACTGTGCATTGCTCTTCACAATTGGCGCCATAGTAACCCCGTATGCAGCTATAACAATGGCTTGTATTCTTATCACAGTTATCATTACAGTTAGTAACTGTGCATTGCTCTTCACAGTTGGTGCCATAGTAACCCTTTATACAGCTGTAACAATGGCCTGTTTTCCTATCACAGTTACCGTTACAGTTAGTAACAGTGCATTTCTCTTCACAGTTGGTACCATGATAACCACGTTTACAGCTGTAACAATGGCCTGTTTTCCTATCACAGTTATCATTACAGTTACTAACTGTACATTGCTCCTCACAATTGGCACCATAGTAACCCCGTATACAACTGTAACAATGACCTGTATTCCTATCACAGTTATCGTAACAGTTAGTAACTGTACAGCTCTGTTGACAGTTGGAACCATAGTAACCCCGTATACAGCTATAACAATGACCTGTATTCCTATCACAGTTATCGTTACAGTTAGTAACTGTGCATTGCTCTTCACAGTTGGTACCATGGTAACCCCGTTTACAGCTGTAACAATGACCTGTATTCCTATCACAGTTATCATTACATTTAGTTACTGTACATTGCTCTTCACAGTTGAGACCATAGTAACCCCGTATACAGCTGTAACAATGACCTGTATTCCTATCACAGTTATCGTTACAATTAGTAACTGTGCATCGGTTTTCACAGTTGACACCATAGAAACTTTGTATACAGCTGTAACAATGGCCTGTATTCCTATCACAGTTATCGTTACAATTATTAACGGTGCATCGGTCTTCGCAGTTGTTACCATAGTAACCTCGTGTACAGCTGGAACACTGTCCTGTATTCATATTACAGTTACCTACACAGTTAGTAACTGTACAGCTCTGTTGACAGTTGGGGCCATAGTAACCTTGAATACAGAGAGAACAATGTCCTGTATTCCTGTTACAACCACCTATACACTGATCAACTGTACATGTTGATTGACAGTTGGTACCATATTTACCATCAACACAATCATTACAAATACCAGATGCTGAATCACATAATCTATTTTTACAGTTGACGTCACACTGATTCTTACAGTCTACACCATAATACTGTTTTGGACAACCATCTGAAAAATAACATAAACTCATCTCAGTTTTAGATATATAGGGATAACTCAGTCTACACCATAATACAGGTAGATTAACAGAATACAGAGACCGGCATGTACTGCCATTTTCATTTTGGTTATGAAAAACAAACCGTATCCTCTACCGTTTATGAAACTGCAACAAATTATGATGGAATGTTTCTAGTTAGGAAATAACCAAATTAAGAAATAGCCCCCTGTTAATTTGAAAGGAATGGGCATGTCCATTTCCATATTAAGAAATTAGTACTTTGATCAGTCCCTAGCTTTAGAGGGGCGTTCGCATCTTTAGAAGAGAGTCTAGCCAGTTCAAAGCCAGAGAGCCAGTTACTATTCTTGAGAGCGAGGAGATTTACCTTAATCTAAAGAATACATTTCCATCAACGAATCTATGGTTCGTTTTAATACATAAATTTATCATCTGTATTACCTGATGCCCTATCTAATATAACTTGTTTACGAATTTGAAACTAATATTAGGTCAAGGTCATAATATTGTTACATTACACGAGAATAATCAAGACCCTAATAGTGAAGTGGTATCAGATTTTCCATACAAGTAAACCTTTAAATAATATATACATGTTCTACATAACGATAAATTAAAATTACAAATTACCTGCTGCGTGAATTAATAAAATAAAAACAAACAAACTCGACCATGAAGCCATTTTACCAGCTAAATTCATATGAATAAGTCTGTATCAAACTTTATCGCCGGCTTAGGTTATTGTAAATCGTAACAATGACGATCTTATTTTAGTATCACTGGTGTTTGTAAAATAAAAAAATCTCTTTCATAAAAGGCGCTAAAGCTGATGAGTCTAAATATAAATATCCCCTTCACACATACATCACGAATAAATTAACCAGGTCGTGGCTGAGAGCGGTATGTATGTGGCAAGGTCTTTGTCAGAGTAGCAAGAGCGTGGTGGGGTCGGGGTAGGAACGTAGAGAGCATGATGGGCCACGACCTAACTACGTGTGCAACGAACATGCACCCAACTCGCGTGGTAATAGCGTATTAAGAGCGGGGACTGCGTAGTGGCAGCGTACCGAGAACGTCTGTATTCACACTCTCATTAGGTGCACCACGTCCCGGTCACGCACTTTCTAAATTAACGACCTTAAGTTTTTCGTAAACCCCAACTTCACACATAACAAAGTCCTCGCTGTACGTTCAAAACGGGCAAAAATTTACTGAACGTCGAGTACAACGTGAGTCGAGCTGAGACAGCGTAGTAAGCACATGGTGAGGTGGTTGCCAGAGCGTGATGGGGGCCTACACTCTTTACGCGTCCATTACGATGTCCCCGTTCTTACTACGCTCTCGCCACGCTTTTCCACCACGACTTCACTGGGCTGGTATAGTGTATGTTCTTAATCCGCGTAGTAAGGTCGTGACTTATCCCGTTCACCACGTTCTTACCATGACATCCACCACGCTCTTACTACGCTCACAAAGATTTCGCCACACCTATGCCGCTCCGAGACACGATCTGGCGTATTTTCTAAAGTTGTGGTCTATGTGTGAAAGCCTCAATACCTCTCCTATACACCGGCAATCAGCCGATCGGGGCGAGACCGTTGTAGCGTAGCCATCACGTGGTAGGAGCGTCGTGACAGGTGGTTGCAATGTGGTTGAGCACGGTGTGGACTTGGCTTCGTCGTGAAGCGCGGTTTGAGCGTGCACGTAAGGACGAGGCCGTAGTGAAAACGTTGAAAGGTTGCAAATTTTTACTGATAGTGTAGTTGCTTTTGACAATCAGTTGATCGGGGTGAGGTTGTTGCAATCTAGAAATCACGTGATAGGAGCGTCGTGACAGCGTGGTTGCAACATGGTTGAGCAAGGTGGGTACATGACTGAGCGTCGTGGGGCGTGGAGGTAAGAACACAGCCAGGCCGTAGTGAGACTTTTCCACGACTTTGCGCGTACTGAGAGGTTTATCCGCATTTCACCGCGACTCCACAACGCTCTATAGACATTTTGCACGTAGTAAGCATGTAACGAGGTTTTCGTCATGTGTGAGGGAGGCTAATGGAAGATATTAAACCTCGTGATTAGAATTACGGCCGGGTGTGAAAATGTCTAGGTCGCAATGTTTTATTCCCCCTTTTCGGCTAAAATTATTTCTCCATTGTATGTTTGTTTTATCGAATGAAAACCCCTGATAAGTAAGGGACAGTTTTTGGGCCCGAACAGAGTTGATATTTGAGAATATTAAAGATATTATAGCAGTCGTGGTATAGAACTTGCCTTTGGTATAGAAATGGAATGAAATGAAATGGGGTTTAACGTCCTAATGTTCTGCTCCTAAACTGGGCTAATGAAAACGGGCATACGCCATACAGTGTGCTATGAGGGAAATTTTGCCCGGGCAGCGGCGCTACGGCCTACTCTTATATCGAATTCCAACTGCCAAGGGATCTTTTACGTGAACGCCAATGTGTACACGGGACCTCGGTTTTTCGTCCTATCCGAACGACTAGACAGCTGTCCTTGCCAGGCCCTCCGCTCATCATCACTGACAAGGGGAAACCACGCCGGAAAATCTGGATGAACTTTCTCGGCCAATGCTTGGATCGAACACCTGACCTCCAGACCAGCGAGCCAGCGTCTTACCCACTTCACCACCGTGACCCCCCCCCCCGCCTTTGGTATAGACTGAGAAAGACTGAGACGAGGTTACAAGCGATAGACGACATATTTAGCCCTGAATCTGAAAATCTACAATTTATATTATTGAATGATATGTATTGTGTTGTATATGTGCGGTAATAAAAATTCGATGAGTCGGGAAACAACTTGAGTTTCTATGCAACGTGTATGAATGTTATATTGTTCAGATAGCCCTTTACTATCAAGAATCTTTTTTATACTTTGTAACGCCAAGTTAAATTACGTTGGATTTGAAAAGATATATCCAGTCAATATTCATAAATAGCCTTGCAAGCGGATATATTTATTACATTTCACAAACAGGGTCTTTATGAAATAAAAAATGCGCGCTTTTGACATGATATGTCACTCTGATATGAATTTAAGTGTTTTCGCATATTTTAACGTATTGTGAAGAAAAGAAATATGTGCAACTTATAATTTTTATTATTATTTTTTGCACGCGCAGGGATAGGTGTATATAATGTGGATTGGACCAACACAGGCTGTAACAAAAATCATCCCTTACATTTAACTTTGATTTAAATCTTACATTTAAATCTTATAATTATTATAAATAGGTGGAAACAGGGAAGCATAATACAGATTTTGATAATGTAATTAAAAGAAATGAATTAGAATTGTAAATATTATTTACATATTTACTGTATGCATCAAATAGACATAAATATGATTATCTACCCTTATAAAATCATACGAGAAACGAGGGTCGTTTCATTACCCACTCCTCATCACGACGTCTTGCATAAGTTGAACCACTTGAATCACCTGACACCCCTTCTCGTCTGTATCCGTTCCATAAGTCTGACATCCTATCGACCTGGATGTCTTAGGTGATCCTGTGGTATGATTAGAGGTAGACACATTGACGATCGTGAAGCGACAAGGGATCAATATTATGATAATTGGGTGATTATTTTCAAACAAGTAGTGCCATTGCGTCCCAACATTCAACCCATTGACAGTGCTCGAACAGTGCGCAAACACGGTTTAAAACGATATGGTAAAGCTTGCCACGGCGCACTGGGAGACATTGCGTGCGGTGACAAAATATCGTGCAGGGTGGCATAAAATTTAATAAAAGAAATGTAAATGAAATGAAATGGGGTTTAACGTCCTACTGTTCTGCTCCTTACCTGGGCTAATGAAGACGGGCATACGCCATACAGAGTGCTACGAGGGAAATTTTGCCCGGGCAGCGGCGCTGGGCCTACTCTTATATCGAATTCCAACTGCCAAGGGATCTTTTACGTGCACGCCAATGTGTGCACGGGACCTCGTCCTATCCGAAGGACTAGACAACTGTCCTTGTCAGGTCCTCCATTCTGCATCACTGACAAGGGGAAACCACGCCGGAAAATCTGAATGAACTTTCTCGGGAAATGCAGGGATCGAACACCCGACCTCCAGGCTAGCGAGCCAGCCAGCGTCTTACCCACTTAGCCACGTGTTCCCCTAAAAGAAATGTACACCAAATATATACCAAATTTGGCGGAGAGGGAGAAATGGGGTTTATCGTCAACTCGTAACAACTAGGTCATTTCGGGACTAACATATGGTTCAATATTATTTCGTCTTTAGCAGTGGGGGGAAACGGGGACACCCGGAGAAGACCCACGAGGTTGGACAGGCGACCCTACTCCTTGTCATGTACAACTGGGGAATCGAAACCACCCCAGTTGACTCAATAACACACCTTATGATGCAATGCTAACCATTCGCCCCCCCCCCCCACGTTAGCACCATGGGCCTTCCTGTCCGACGTAGAGAGCGGACCACACAAACCGGTCGCCACATCCTTCGTACAACCCATGCATCTTTTCTTACTACATATTTCTGTAGCCTTGTGATCGTCTAAAATTTGTCTCTAGCTGTTTTTACTTCTGCTTCACGTTGTGTATTTACTTCTTACTGTTTTCTTAAGACGTTTGTCTTACCAGGAATGACAATGCAACAGTTCGCTTTTACATTTTATATATATATAGCCGAATACATGTATACAAGCATAAAAGATAACAATACTAGCTAAAACCATTTCTCCGGCCTAGCCAGCCTCGCGGCTGTCTAGGAACTCAGATGGAACCTCTCTGGAATCTAATGGAAGTCTGACTTAAAAGTTTACTATGATTTCTTTTATAAGACTTATGGATATCATGCACAATCAAGTGTGATCATGGCCCTGAACCTGTGCAATTAACAATATGATTGGTTAAGCCAAATAATGCAATGGTAAATTTCCATGCACGTGATATCTCGTGGTATTTTATAGACACATGTTTTAGCTAAATAACTCTTTTTATGTGCCAACTGTCAATTACAGACTAAGTTGATTTAAGTACAATTCTACATATATGTTCATCTACCAACTTGCCAAAGATATTAATTAATGAAATATAATATAATCTTATTCCTCCATTCCTTGCCTATAAATTGAAAACAATGTCGCAACGACAATATTGCTACACCCCCACCCCACCAATTTTGGCTGCAATACATCACGTAATTTTAAATCTCTGATTCTCATTTGAGTGATTTTAATGCCTTTCAAACTACCTTATTGTAAAAGTTGAATCTCTGGAAGGAATATAAATTCAAAACTGAGTGAGTATTTACTAAGATATGATGAACTGAAAATTCGTCACCAACGAAGATATGGTAAAAACAATTATATATTATTTGAAAAATTACGATCTATGTTTAAAACATATAAAACTACCCCTATATTGTGACGTCGTTTGAACAAATCTGAATAAAGATATCAAAATGATTGCAATTCATCAAACGATTAAAGAGAAAACGTCGAAAATGCCTAAGTTTTCCCAAATCAAAAGCCATACGCCTCACCCTTCCGGGGTTGGGCAGTATTTCATATGAAATGTCTAAATTAATTGTCTCTTCGAGGCTCCTCTGTCCTGTTCCGTTGTGGACAAGTAACTTGACTGGAACAAAAGCATTATCTAATAAACATACGTATCCAGTAGTTTAGAGTATGGTGCCATCCTGAACGACCTTAACTTAATCAATACTCATACCAATTGCATCAACAATGTTTTTGCTTTAATTTTCCCCTCTGTGCCATTCCTTTTTCAGCTAAGGATGATTCCTATCATGTGGTGTAAAACATTATGGACGACCCAAATCGATTTTCAGTACACTGTTGTCTTTCCAAACGTAAACAA